AAGACATTCTCGAAATGTTGTACATAGGCAGCTGATCGTGCGGCCAATAGACGTTGCTCTGCAGGAACAGGTAAACAGATACGCACTAAACGAGCTTGTCCGTTAGAGTATTTTCTTTCTATGAGTGCTGCTGGAATATTCAGGGATGACTTCATGATTTTTTTCCTGCCCCTGATTGAAATAGGTTTCGCTACCTCGGAAACAAACTTCGAGAAAATCATCAAATGTGTTGCTGTTCGCTTCAGTATCGAAACTGTACCCTGTGACCTTTCCTGTAATAGTCTCCCCGATAGTGTTATCAATGGCCAAGGAAGTACCCAGTTTTGGTGCAGTAAATCTTAGTGTCACCCTTACTTGTAAATTGGCCTGATCTTCTCACGTTAAAAACGCTTTCGCAGTGGTTCACAGACCGTCCAGATAGGATCAGGATACTATGCTTTCCTAGAAAAACTTACAAATAAACTTCTGTTCACTTGCATTCACAAACACTAGTTATACTACTCTCACATTTTTCCTCGTTTAAATAGAAACCATTACAAACTATTCTCTTGGTCCTTTATCCTTTTATCACTATTTAGAGGACTTGGTCAAAGATTTTCTGTTCGTCTTTTACTTGAAAGTATTTCAATGCACGAATCCGTACAACCTATATACGTTGTAGCACAGGAACAAGTAAATAACTATACACAGAATGAGATCTGTAGAGTCCTTCAGTCACACTATAAATTCGTAAAAACAGGTGAGAATTTCCCTCCTGGATGCATGAGACGTATCTCTGACCTGTTCATCTTTTGACTTTTTCTTTCTGTGCAATTATCAAAACGAGAAATGCTTCAAGGTTAAATCCACCGCCCACTGCACTCACAGAGATGCACATAGGAGCCACGGACTGAGGACCAACGTGATCTATTCGATCATATCTTGACACATCAAGCTGACACTAGTGACACCCCCACACTTGATATTTTTGGTAAGAGCACACAAGTTGTTCACCAGAACAAACCACACAAGTTGTGTCGTTGATCAATCGCAGTTTTCGTGCAGTTTGTCATGTGATGCACTGCGGAGGCTCAGTCGATTGTGTCGGTTTGGCAGATTTTCAAACATTACATAATCGAGATTGTGACTAATATGTTTTTGAAGCCACATATTTTGTCGCTCTTTCGTGATTCCGTAGTTTTTTCTTGCTGCTTTTATCGGGATGGGGGTGAGCTGGGACTCCTTAACGTTTGGCGCCTGGGAGGTATCTCATTTGGCGCATATCGATCACTTTGACCTAGTTTGTTCCAGTTAAAGTAAATCGATTCACCTGATTCACAATATACAGTTAGTTTTCTCGAAAATTGTATCTTCGTGCACGTCACTATAAGATTGATCAATACTTGACAAAGTCCACGCTAACGGAGTTTTATTTCAAATCACGTCCGCAATCGATGCTTTTTAAGTGCACTTTGGTTTATGTTGTTACATTTGATTAAAATAATGAATACTTTTACTTTCTGGTGTACATTCGTCCATTAAACTGTTATGCTGTCAAAAAAGTAAATGCTTACAATTTACCGTGCAGTTTGGATCAAGATATTCGAATTTTTCATTCAAACTGCAAGCTGAGGCGGCGAAGTGTGATTTTGGAGATCAGTTGCAAATTCCACTAGATGACCGGTTTCAGTCAATCCGGAACTGCATCGAGAACTACTTCAGTTCAGAAGCCCATAAACCAATTTGTGCGTTCAGTTTGCAAAACGTTTTAGGATACAAAACCTATTCCTGATGAAAGTTTCTCTGTTATGTACAGTAAAACCACTGATGCATACAATTTGTCAAATAATTGACTGCACGAGTACAAAAAATTCCCGCCTAGTCCTCGTAAAGGCAAGTAGATAAATCGGACAAATACCAAATTTGCAACTTCCTGTGTAAATCGATTGTCCGTTGTGTGGTAGGCCAGTTTCTCGTTGTAGTCGTTCACATTGCACTTCATTTGTTTTGACTGGGGGCAAGTGAGCTGCGATGATTGTATGGCAAGATCGAACGGCAGAACGGCAAAACAAGCTCCAACCAGGACACGAAGGAACTAATGTGGTCGCCTTGTTACAGACATTAAACGTATGACTCTCAGGAAGACACTAATTGATAAGAAGAGTTGAATCTTTACCGAGACTCGGACGATGTGTGAATGGCATGATTGTCTTATTTTCGCAACAATCCGTGATTTCGTTGCCCTGTTTCCGTGTAATCCACGATTGAATAAAAAAATTGTTCAGCTAAAATAGGAAGCCCCCAATGCACGTCGCGTTCGGCGAATTCTATTTACTACTGCTTAAGAGATCAGAATTCCCTTGCTTGTGGGAAAGTTGATCACATCCACAAGCTGTGTTGTGAATGCCAATACAACCGGTTGAAGCAAACACCTGATTGTCCGTAGGAAATCACCTTGACCCAGAATGAATATAAGCACATCACCTATAGGCATCATCCTTTCGGAGTCCGATACAGTTGTATTAAGAATACCTGTCAAGTTCATAATTTCACGTAGGCATCTTAGATTGGCTTTTCCAAATACAGTCAATCTCCTGCTATGTCGCACTCCTGAGAAGTCGCATTTTCCAATATCTTCCCACTTTTTCGAAAACCCAAACCAACCGTATGCTTCATAATGTAGTTTCTGACTAAGCAATGCCCCACCCCTCAATTTGTCGCAGTTCCTGATACTTGCTCACTTGGTCGTTGACCGATGTTCGGGACAACTATTGACCATCCACCCTGAAATGTCGCACTCAACCAATGGCGTTGCACGTAGTGTGACGCGTTCATGGCACTGTTCACTGATTGGATAATCCTAGCGAGGAAGTCACACCGATGCAAGTGATCGGAGATATTGTCATTTGACGTCAAAATGTGCAAGGGCCTATCGATCAGAGAGAAGCAGAATGTGTTGGAAATGCTGAAACAGCCAGGTGCAACTCAGAGCTCCGCAACCAAGTCACTTGGAATTTCACGAAAAACTGTCTACAATGTTGTATCCCATCGAACGACTATCGGAGAATTTTTGAACGCTGGAGCATCTGAGGAAAGATGCCACCTGAAAACCAACGAAAAATTCAAGGCAGTGAATGAGGCAACTTTGGCCATGAGGGAAAAGCACGGAGAGTTCCCGATGGTGGAGAGCATCGTACGTAAGAAGGCAATCCAGCTAGCGCAAAGATTGCATCATAATGAATTCAAGGCTTCCAAAGGTTGGTTTCGTTCTTGGTCAGACAGATGTGGTATTCAGTTGTACAAAGCAAGAAACAAACAACTAAATTGCATTACTTTATAGGCATGTGGGGAAATTTTAGTGGTACCACGTGATGCAGCTGGGTTACCGCAGTTGATACAAGGATAGGCTGATTGTGATATTTTCAATGTAAATGAAACAGCTTTGTATTACAGGCTGCTCCTACGAAGGATATTAAGTCTGAAAGGAAAGACAGTTTCTGGGTCCAAGAAATCTAAAGAGAGGGTCACGTGACTGCTTTGTGGTAGCATGACTGAAGATGCCTCTGAGGTATAGACAGAAAAAGCCTTCCATGCAGCTACAATTCTTTAAAGAACGCATGGATGAATTCTACGTCATTTCACAGTTAGCTGTCCGATGTCAACCGCAAAATGGTTTTTCAAAGGCGCTCTATTTTACTATTTGTGGACAACGCCCCTTGTTGTAACCACGCCGCAGTATCCTCCAACGCCAAATTGGTACGGTTACCTCCGAACTGTTCTTCGATGTTACAACCAATGGATCAGGGTGTGGTTTGGTCTTTCAAATGTTCGTTTCGGAAACGTTTACTGGAATATATTTTGCCTTTGCTCGAAGATGAGCAACTTATCATGAAAGCCGAGGTGGATATTCTCATGGCCATGCATCTGGTCAAAAAAGCTTGGGTGTCCGTGCACCCGCACCTACCGGTCAACGCTTTCATGAAAGCTGGGTTCAAACCCACATTGATTCAGCCGATGATGCAGCCACCAGAGGATAAATACGATTTGATCGAGGACTTTATTCCTTGTGTCTATTGATGAAAGTTTTTTGGAATTTGACGATGAAGACGTGGGTTAATTAAAATGTTTGTATCAAGTCTCTTTTTTAGTCATGAAATGAATTTGTTTCGAATCAAGCTAAGCATCGTAAAGAAGATGAATGTGAGGCAACGATTACGCCGGAAGTTATCTCAATCAGAGAGGCGCAGAAGTTATTGGATCAATTTAAGCTGTTTGCCTTGGCTAAGGCTCGAAGTTCGGGTTGATTATTTGAGTGTACAATTGATTTAAACAGCGCGTTGTTGATTTCCACAGGAGAGCCAAGCTGAGATAAGCGACGATAGATGATTTTGCTTAAAATACATTTTTGTAACCTGCAAAGTATTTTGCAATTCTGTGGGGCATTGAATTGAACTGTGGGGCATTCGAATGTGGTCATTTTTGCTACAGTGGTCACCAAAGCCACGGTCATTCGGTCTACCGATGGGCTCTATCGCACTAACGTGCAAACAGGTGGACGATGACCGCGACTGACTGGTAAGCGGGTGAGTTGTCAGATCCGAGCGATGAACACCGTTACACGGACGCGCCTATGTGAATGAATGAACGATACTCTCACTTGGCCTAGAGTACCGGTGAAATTACGCAGGTCACCTGCCAAAGGTTATCGTAACCCGGGTCTAACGACAGTTTGTGAGATCCATTTTTAGTTTATGAATCGTTAATCGATTGAGAGTTACCGTAATTCCTGTAGGCTGGCGTCTATGGCCTTTGGTTGGCTGAACAAGAGTGAAATTCTTCCAAGTAAACTCCCGCCTCACGCCTGCCGGGAAATTTGCGCGAGAACCCGCTTAAAAAAATAGTGCGTGTACCTTAAACCAGTCAAACGTTGGCTCAGTGTCATCATCGCTTGAACTTTTTCATTCTGAATCTCCCATAGGTGCATCGTTCCACT